CATTTCTTGCTGGCACTGGGATTAGGTGACTGATGAAGGACTTGAATCAAGAACAAGCACTTCGGAAAGCCGATCCAGTGTTCCGACTTGTAGCTTTCCAAGTCGTCTTTCTTGAGGCTTTGAATCTGTAAGTGTTGCAATAGCCCAATATGACCAAGAGGCTCAAGTTCCAGCTCAGTCTTCACATCTTTTTCCCCTTTTCTTTTCTTCTGAAGGTTACAGTCTCCCTATGCGGTCTGAAGCAAGATAGCATGATCTAATTGCCTAAGAATTTATTTCCAAATAGTTGTTGACAGACTCTGAATGTCTCTGAAATAGCAGGCAGATCATATTCCTCCTTTGTGTAGGTTTTTTTTCTTTTATTAATAAAACAAAACAATGATTCCCCCAAGAACTTTCCTTTGTGGCACCTGGGGTACTCAGCCAATCAGCTAGCAGTTCTTGGACATCTGATAAAGAGAAGAAGGTCTCAGGACTCACACGATTGGGAGCTAAACAGAAAACAGATGTAGGTAAATACAACAGTCACAGACGAGGGATTGAGAGAAAGAACGGGCTGAGGCTGCACGGAGGCAGTCAGGTGACGAGGTGGATTTGGCAAGAAAAATGTCCAGAAAAGACGAGCTTAACGCGTTTCTAAACACTGAATGGCTTTGTGAGCAGTGTAGAAGGAAAAGCAAGGAGACTGAACGTGTGGGCCACCGAGATGAGAAGCAGAGGGGAGAAGGGCCTGAAGGAGAGGATGGACTCGAGCAGTCCTGGCTGTGGACAGCCAGGTGTAGCTGGGGTAACCCTTTGGCAGGATAGAAGTTCTTTAGGGTCCTTCAGAACCTGTGAAAAACCCCTTCCCATGAATACTTTAGAAGGCTGACCTAGGCAGTGGACCTCACGTGGAGAATGGGTTTAAGATCTTCCTGACCTTGCAGGGTGCCCTCTAATCTGCATCAGGACCCTCAAGCTGGGTGTATGGGTGCATACCTGTAATTCCGGCAGTCAGGAGGATTGCTGTGAGTTCAAGGCCAGCCTGGGCTAAACAGGGAGACCCTGTCACAAACAAACACCGAAGACCAAATAGCTATCTCTAAAGGGAAGGCTGCAGAGAGGGGTGTGGCTCACTGACTTGAGCCATTCATTCGTTCACAGTGAATGCCTTTTTTTGTACTGGGAATTGAACTCAGGCTACATTCCTGACCCTCAATGTATTTTTTTTTGAGAGTCTCGTTGTATAGCTCAGCCTGACCTCAAATGTGTGGCGATCCTCCTGCCTCAGCCTCCTGAGTGCTGGGATCGCAGGCATGTGTCACCACACCTGGCAACCAATGCCTCTCTGAGAAGAATTGAATACATTGTCCTTGAGGCAGGGACAGATGACAGACAGGTCTCCACTTACTCAGCTTAAATTTCATTTTTCTTTCTGAAGTTACTGAAAGATTTTCACTAAGTTCCTCAATGCATGTGTCCTGCAATGCTGGTGTCCATGCACCAGGACCGTGCCGGGTGCAGGGAACACTGGACTCTGCATCAGATTCGACAATGAACTTGAAGCCTGAGTATTTCTTTTTGCGTTTCTGGCTTTTGCCTTACCAAAAAAGAAACTATCTCTTCTGGGACAGAGTAGACAAATGAGCATGGGTGAATGGAGTCGCAGGTGCCCTCTCAGCTGCTGTGCCAGCTGTGCCCCCTGACAACCCCTCCTTGTCTCCCTCCTGCTCTCACCAATCCAGAATCCAGGTATCTGTATACGCAGCTCCTGGTGCAACCTGGGTAGTGATAGATGTTTGACTCTGGATTTGGAACCAAACACGTTCTGTTTTCTTTTTTTTTTTTTTTGTAGCCCATGTACAAGGTGGCTGCTTCAATAGGAGCTGTGAGTTGCCTAGGGACTTTTCAGTGGAGGAGGTGAGGAATCAGGATGCAGGGACTGACCCACTGTGTCTTCCACACAAAGCGCAGGCCGGGTGGGCTTCTCGCCTCTCCTTGCGCATGAATAAGGCTCTCATCTCCTGCCTCCAGGGGCTGCTGGCCGTGCTACTCACGTGTGTCCACTAGGACGCTTTCTGGGTGGTTGGCACTCATCACCGCTTGACTTCATTTCTTTCTTCCTTTCCTTCGCCCTGAGCCAGATCACTCTTCCAAGATATTCAGGTGCTGGAAGGGGCTGCGGAAGCTGCCTTGCTGGCTGCCAGATGATTTCCAGCAACACGCCGATGCACATAGCAGAAGACCTGATCAGATTAACAAGTGGCCGCCTGCACCTCAGAGGTGGTTGGGGAGAGGTGCACGGCAGTGTTTAGTCTTACAAATACCAAAAGAGCTTTAACACACTCATCTGGGCACTGGTGTGGTACACTCAGCCTCTTGCAAGCCATTCCACCCAAAGCTATCTGCAGATGCCCGGCAGAAGCGGGTCATACACACAGGGTTACTGCGTCCGAGCTACAGAAGCACCTCTGTGCTGGTGCAAGGGAGGTGCTGGCTGGCTCGCATCTGTTTTTAGGTGCTGTCTCTGCTGCTGGGAAATTTGGGAGCTGCTGGTAAAATCTTCCCTTGGAAAGCAAGGCCGACCCAACGCCGACCTTCACCAGTGGGCAGAGCCTCAACTCTACAGGGCCCTCGGGCGACATGTGGGATGCAGCAGGAAAGGTCCCGTGTGGGGTCTCTGGAGAGAGAAGATGAGCATGGACCACCACGCTCGGGAGAGTTTGGAAAGGGTGGCCCCTCGGGCAGGCATCCCGGGCCCTGGATGAGGCTGCAGCTGTTCCATCATCCTGCAGCCCGGCCCACAGCACAGGGCTTGGTGATGCTGCTCTGCTTTCCTGCCTACTGGGTGCCTCTGGGAACAGTGCAGCAGCAGCTCAGTGACTGGACCCGGGGAAAGTACGGAAGGGAGCTGCTGCATTTCTTCAGTAACTTACAGAGATGAAGGCATTCCTATAAGTGACAATGAAAGCTAAAGGAACCCCCCCCCCACCTTCCCAGCATCAGCGTACAACACTTGTGCAACCTGGTGTGCGGAGGCCCGGTCCAGCATACACAGCACACAGCAGTGTGGCACTGGACTTCAGCCCAGTTCTGAGAATCATCCCTGAGTCGGTGTCATGTCCTGCGTGCGCCAGGCTCAGTCCCAGGAGACCTCTGCTGCGTTCCAGGGTACGGCCTGTACTCTAGGCCAGCCGACTAGAAACGGTGTCCCTGCAGTCTCTTGGTATGGGACAGTTTGATGGGATGGCTCACTGAATGCAGAGAACATGTGCCTTTGCTGCTTTGCTGGGACATTGTGAGGACAGAGACGACAGCCATGAGTCTAGGAGAGGGCTGTGCAGTGCTTCCTCTCTGTCCTCCCCCCAGCATCTCCAAAGAGCTCAGCCTCCTGTCCACCTCCCCTCTTCCTGGAGAGGGTGGGTGGGACGTGAGAGGCCAATTGTTCTACCCCCAGTCCCTCAGTCCTCTCAGGGACCAGCTCGACTTGAGTCTGGCTATGAGTTTTACCCTAAGTCAGCACTTCGTATAAATCGTTGTTGTTTGAGGAACACCCTATGAGTAAGAAAAGATATTCCTATCACCCCGGAAATTCCTTGGGTTTTAGCTCTGTGATGGGAACCAGGCCCAGAGACAAAATATGTTTCATATATTACCCTCTCCATTTCTAAACCCAATGGCCGGAAGCAGGACAGGCCACCAGCTAGAGGCAGCCCCCAGGCACGACACACACAAACACAGACACATGCATCTTCACACAGAGGTACAAGTATTTGTAAGTGCACATGTGTATGTGCATGCACTGTCTCATGTACTCTCACGTGTGCATAACTGAGGCGTGTAGATGTGCCTACCTGTATACGCGCACACGCACGCACTTGGTGTCATATACAATCATTGACACATATGCACATTACAGGTCTAGATGCATGGACAGGCTTGCACAGCTGCATACACATACATACACCCACACAAGCCTGCAGAGACACAGTTGGAGATACATGTGCCCTTACACACACATGCACACCCTCATGTGTACACTGGAGACCTCTGGCTGCTGTCCTGTCCGCCTGGGCCTGGGCATCTGGGTGCTCTGTCCTATCAGAGGGAGTCTGGCGTGGGTCTCCAGGATGGCCTTGGGGACTGTGCTAACGCACCATCAGGATTAGAAGAGCGTGGCCACCTCACAGGGTAAAGGGTTGGGCCACAGAAGAACGGCTCTGCCCTCTAACCGTTTGTGAGTGTGAACCACACCTTTGAGGAGAGAGGGAGAGAGAATACTGGGAGGAGCAGGGGAGTGGAATTGGATTCTGATCATCTTGGCTTTAAACAGAGAAGCTACAAACAGAATGGGGTTAGTGATCGCGGTACTTAGTTTACATATACAAGCTCCCCACAGGTCTGTTCTGGGGAAAGAAGAGGAGCACGGGGCCTAGTGACCACAGAGGACCCTGTCCCCACATGCATGGAAGAAAAGAAGTGTTCTGTGTGGGTGCGGGCGCTTAGCTCCCTCATCCTGGCTGAGTGTGGCACTCCAGTGCGCACGACTCCTTCCTTACCAGTCTGCCTCGTCCCCAAGGGCCGGCTCCTCCAGGGCCCACCTGTCTCTCTGCAGCAGCACCTCTCTGGGGGTTTCTGGGGCAATTCCCTTGGGATCAAAGGGCCCTGAGCCGTGTGCAGCTGCTGCCACTCTGAGCTCAGCCTTGGGCTCGGTCTTGGGCTGGAGGCGACCTCTCTCTGAGGACACTCCCTGCTGGCAGGGCACTCAGGTCCATCCCCCGCATCCCATCTGAGGGGGTGAAGGCCAGGTTCTGAGCCTTAGGGTGACTCCAGCTGCATGTCGCATGTGCAGCTGTGGGGTGAGGGACGTATCCCCAAGAGAACCTTAGTCCCACCGCCATTGTCACAGAAACACTGCAGGACTCTCCTTTCATCCAGGCAGTTTATGTCATGTCAGCCACGGGCCTCTGATGGGAGCCACGCAAAACAACAGAAGGGGACCATGAAAGGGGAGCTGTTACCTGGTCCTGCTGCCGGTGCCTGCGTGTGCTGGGCGCTGGGGGGCATCTCACCGCGGCCTGGCGTCCCGGGGCTGCCCTGGCTCTCCAGACTGGTTTTCCCTGTAATCGGGGGCAGAGGGCCCAGGGATGGGGCTGCATCCTCAGACAGGGCGTCATCTTCAAAAGCAAAGGGGAGGACACGAGTGAGCAGACTTACAGTGAGCAGGCAGGAGAAGGACTCTGCTCCTACCTTGGCTGCCTGTCCGGGAGGTGAGAGTGGTATATCCACTCATTCCCAGGCTTGCTCCTTCTCTCTCTTTCTCTGGTCCCGGGACTCAAACTCAGGACCTCGATTTAGATGGAGAATTTATGCAGCTGAGCTATACCCCTAGCCCTTCGACCCTTTTTTCCAGTCCTGCTCAGGAGCAGGGAGCAAATCCACCCCATGGTGGCAAGTAGTCAGCATGCTGGGAGGCTGAGGCAGGAGGCTCAAAAGTACAGCTCAGCCTGAGCAATTCAGGAGCACAGAGATAAAAGTACAGAAGGGCTGGAATATAGTTCAGTGCCACAGTGCCTCCTTCAAACTCCAGCACCCCATCGCCTCAACAAATAAAGCAAAACAAGACAACAGGAAACCCAAGAGCAGTGCGGGGCGGGGTGGTGGGGTGGGGTAGGCTGTGGGGTGTGGGGGGTGGACAGCGTCCCATGAGCTGACGCCTGTCTTTCTGCTTCCAGCACCGCTGGTTGGAGGCCAGGGATGTTGGCAGCCCCATCATCTGGAGGGGTTTCTCAGAAAGGAGGCTCAGTTTTTGGTTTTCTGAAAATTGTGAGCTCTCTAAATATGGCCCAGTCCTGCCAGACTATGCCACACATTAAAAGGCAAAATCGGGATGAACACCTCATATGATTTCCAGTGACCCTGGAACGCAGAGTCCAGGGTCAAGCAGAGTGAAGCATTCTCTGGAAATGATGGACTTGGAAATGAGGGACCATACAGGAAGGAAATTTCATTGCTTAAAAGCAAGGTTAACTATAAAGCTGGCTGCAGCGTTTTGGTGACTGGGGCCACGTTCCGTTCACAACCAGAAAGCAGGGCTGGGGTTGATTTAGTGACCTTGGGTCAGAGGTACTGCAGCTCTGGGATGAGGGGCACCTGTGGGCTGGGCTGTGGCAGGACCTACCTGGGGGCACCGGCAGCCGCACGTGGATCGCCCTGGGCCTCGGCCTCCCTAGGAGGTCCTGCTCGTGGAGCCTCCGCAGGGGAAGCTCAGGACCTAGGACAGAGGAGAAGGCCAGGTTGGAGCCGAGTGCTACCTTCCCAGGGTCTCTCCCCAGGGTCTCTCCCCAGGGCGGAGGTTCCGCCCCGCACACTCCTGCTGTGGGGCTCCGTGACTGTGGGCCCAGAGCCTGGTTTCCCAGGGGGCCACGCTTAGGTCCTGGCAGGCACTGTCCCAAGTCTGGTGCATCCTGGTGCTGGGTGGCTGGGGCATCTTTGTGGCACAGGGTGACTGTCATTGGGGTGAAGGGGAGGTCAGAGCACCCAGAGATGTAGCCAAAGGCTCCCGATGTGATTTCTCTCACTGTGTGTGTTTGCAGTGCGCTATAGCGATATTCATTTCATTTTGGGGAATTAGCACAGGCGGGTAATATCCTGATCATTTCCCCTCCCCAAACCTCGTCCCCGTGTTCTAAAGGTCTCCCTTCTTATTTCCTCCTGTCTCTTCTTTATTTCACTCATTTATTACTTACATTTTAGGTTTGTCATATAAGAGAAACCACGTGATATTCAGTGTTCTGTGTTTGATTTATTTCGTTTAGCGTTAGATCTCCAGTTCTACCCATTTTCCTGCAAATGACATTAATTCCTCTTTACGGCAGAATAATATTCCATCGTGCCACATTTCTTTGTGCGTCTTTTTGTTGACAGGCACAGGTGATATTTTCCTGGGTCCTGGGGTTGTTGGGTTCTTGTGTGAGTGCTTCCCTCTACCTCGCTCCCCGATGTGGTTTGAGGCAGGCAGCTGAGGCTGGAAGCTGAGCTCCTGGCTGACACGTAAGGGTGGGGCCTGGTCAGTTCACTGCCTTTGTGCTTTACCCTTGTTTCTTACGGGGCAGGGCTCGGGTGTGCTCCTGCTCTCTAGTAGCTTTAAGACTCTGGCCTGGCGGTCTTCTCAGCCTGCCTGTTGTGTCACTGTGGAAAGCAGTCGATTTTAACCCACTTTTGTGCACGGTCTTGTCTTGTGTGTCTTTCTGTCTGATGTTTCCCATATGGGCCTGCTGAGGATTCCTCTCCTGGCAAACCAATCCCCAGGACACTCAGTAACTTGTCAGTGAGAGAACTTTCACGTCCGGGCCAGCCCCTCAAGAGTCCCGACATTGGGTCGCCACCTGCACTGAGCAGTCACAGGTTCGGGCTGCTACTGGACACTTAGGGTGCCCTCACTGAGACTCCAGAGGCCACTGTGACATTCGAACTGGCCGATTTGAGGTCTGCTTAGCCTGTTTGCTCTTCCTCTCTAATGCAAATTGTGTGGTTTCTTCCCGGGGTCTGCAGTATTAGAATCTCAGACCTGGGAGCAGAGGGTGGCCAGAGACTAAGACCTGCAAACAAACCACGCATTGAAATGCACAGAGGCGTTTTGTTTAAAAACTCAATTTGGTTTCTTTTTCCTCTTCTCCTTTGCTCCATTGGTTTTTTTCTTTTCTTTTTGCTGGTTTTTCTTTTTATTTTTTCATGTTTGCTCTTTTCTGTTGCTTTTTTTTTTTGTCTTTTTTCTTTTTTATCGGTACCGGGGATCGAACTCACAACTGCCTGCTTGCAAGGCAGGCGCTTATGCTGCTGAGCTAAATCTCCAGCCCTTTTCTGTTGCTTTTGTCTATTAATTTTCTTTTACTCCTTACCAGGCAAGCAGGCAGTTGTGAGTTCGATCCCCAATACCAATAAAAAGGAAAAAGACAACAAAAACAAAAACAAAAACAGTGCAGTTCATTTCGGGAGAACTGGAGAGGAATTATGTTGGGTCCTCTCCAAAACTGGTAGAGGCAATTAGTTCTCAAGACAGAGGCAGAGAGCATGTCCAAAGTGCATCACAGGAAAGCAGACACTCACTAGTGAGATCTCCACACTATCAAAAACAACCCTGCCACTAGAACTGACCCACAAACCTCAGTGAGCAGCCCCTCACGCAATTAGAAACATAAAAAGACAATGTAACGAAATGCTGCCCAAAACTCAAAACTCCCCAGAAGTGATCTATGGGGAATTGATGGAGAGGAAATAAAAAAATCAAGCAGCTGAATTACATACAACGATAAATGACAACAGATGGATAAGTGCAAGCTCAAAGATAATATAACGAATCACACAGTGGGTTTAATAAACAGACTAATCAGTGAGTTTATGGAGCTTACTAATAAAAAGCTAGCTGAGCTAAATAAAACTATACAGGGCTGGGGATTTAGCTCAGCGGCATAAGCGCCTGCCTTGCAAGCAGGCAGTCCCGAGTTTGATCCCTGGTACCGATAAAAAACAAAAAAGACAAAAAAAAAAGTGCATATTCATAAATAAAACTATACAAAACATGAGTGACCAGGTTAGCACAGAATAAGAGGCCATAAAAGGTACCAAACCAAACACCAGCACATAAAACATGGTATTGGCAGTGGGGTCCCCAGATGTGACCAGTGTAAGGACAGAGTCAGATTTGGAAGATGGGGCGTGTACAGGTGACCATATACTTAGAGACATTTTAAAAACAACAAGAGAATGTGAGAAATGGTTCCAGCAGCTGCCAGATAAGAAAAAGATGACTTGGATTAGATGGAACTAGTGAAAATTGGGAAAACAGCACCAATGGCACAAAAAACCTGTTTGCAGAAATAATAGCAGAAAACTTTTTAAATATAGGAAAAGAATTCAATGTATGGATTTGTGAGGCACACAGACCTCCAAATAGCCACGATCAGAATGGAACCTATCACAGTATAACCAAACTGTATACATTGTAGTCAAAATCCCAGGAGTCTACCACAAGGCCAAAAACCTTAAATGCTGTCAGATAAAAGCAACAAATCATTTACAATGGTAGATCCACTAGAGTTACAAGTGACTTCTCAACACAAATATAAAAGTTTTTCAAGCTCTAAGAAAATAATTTCCAACCCTCAACTGATAAATCCTGCAAAACTATCTTTCAAAATTGAAGGAGAAATAAGATCTTTACATGTTAAAGATCATTTAAGAAATTTATGACCACCAAATCAGCACTCCAAAAAATTTTCAAGGATATTCTAGGAACAGACAATGAGGCAAACAATGTCAAAGAGCTTAATGAAATGAATACACCAGGTAAGGTAAGCAGTTAAGGAGAAAGGTGAGAAGAAATAAATCAGTAACAGGAAAATGATGCAATGAATAAGTCTTTTATTAATAACTTTCAATGTGAGTGGTCTCAACTCCTCAATCAAAAGACACAGATTGTCAGATTGACTTAAAAAATAAACCTAGTGGAATGCTGTATTTAAGAAACTCATTTAATCTAAAAAGAAATGCATAGACTAAAAATCAAAGGACGGAAAAACATACCCTGTGACAGTAGCCCCCCAAAAAGGAGTAGCTATCCTATTTTCAGACAAAGTGGACTGGAAGCCAAAACTGATCAAAAGAGACAAGGTCACAAAGGCCGGGCATGGTGGCACACTTCTGTAATCCCAGCACTTGGAGCATTGTTTGCAAGTTCGAGACCTGCCTGGGCTATAAAGTGAGTCCAAAGCCAGCCTGAACTGCATAGTAAGACCTTGTCTCAAAACAAAGTCACTGAGGTAAGGAAACAATTCCACGGGGAGAGATAACTACTATGAACTTAGATGCAATGAGCATTGGTGCAGTTGGATTCATAAAACTGACTTTACTACTGGACATAAAAGATCAGATAGAGCTAGATGTGGTGGTGCACACCTATAATCCCAGCACTTGGGAGACTGAGGCAGGACAATTATCGAGAGTTTGAGGCCAGCCTGAAATACATAACATGACCTTGTCTCAAAAACAAAACAAAACAACAGATAAATATCAACACAATTATAGTGAAGGACCTGAATATCTCACTATCACAAATAGATTAAAAAATCAATAAAGCAATATCAGAGTTAACCACACCATTGAACAAACGGTCTTGATAAACATCTCAGGAGCGTTCTACCTTACTATGGAGCACACAGTATCTCAGCAGCACGCAGAACTTTCTCCATAATAGACTATGTTCCAGTCTAGAAGCAGGCTTAGGTAAATACAGAAGAATCTAAATTCCCCTACTCATATTATCAGGTTACAGTGCAATGAAATAGAAATTGATGACAAAAGAAACCACAGAAATTATGCAAACGTAGAAACTAAACAAGATAGTGTTGAATAATCATTGGGTCACAGAAGAAATCAAAGAAGAAATTAGACAGCTCCTAGAATCAAGTGATAATGCCAGTCAACATACCAGAACTAATGGGACACAATGAAACCAGTTCTGAGAGGGAAATTGGTAGCTGTGACTATTCACATCACGGAAACAGAGGGAGTCTAAATAAATAACCTAATGGTATTACTGAGGTCCTGGAAAAATAAGAACAACCCAAGTTCAAAGTTAGTACAAGGGAGGAAATTATAAAGACCAGAGCCAAAATTAAGGAAATACATGTATTTTTCTGTGTAGCCCATTTTAATTTTCTATTTGAATAGGTTAACACACTCAGATACCTTGGAGGGCAGCAAGCTGAAGGACCACCCTGAGAGGCAGGAACTCTAGCCGGGCCACTGTGCAAAAACAGTCCCGGCCAACGAGGGCAAAGCAGGAGGTGTCATGCTCCCGGATTTTAATTTACACTGTATGGGTACAGTGAAAAACCAGCATGCACTGGCACAGAAACAGGTCAGTGGGACAGGACAGAGGATGCAGGGACAGTGCCAGGCACACTCAGCAGCTGATCTTTTGGAAAGTGGTCAAAAACTTACACTGGAGGACAGATGGCCTCTAGCAAATGGCATCAGGAAAACTGGCTCTCAGCATGCAGAAGGTGGGAATGGATCCACCAAGCAGGTGCTGAACTGCATTCAAAATGCATCAAAGATTTAGAATATTAAAACATAGACACAGCCAGCTGGAAGATAAGTTAGGTAGAACTCGAAGATACAGGCATGGGCAAGGGCTTTCGGAGTAGATCCCCCATTGTACAAGAAACAACACCAAGAATCAACTTCAGCAAGTGGGATTATATCAAATTGGAAAGCTTCTGCACGGAAAAAGAAACAACCAAAGACCAACGAGACAACCTAAAAAAGAAAAAAAAAAAAAAAAAAAAAAAAAAAAAAAAGACTCCACAAAATAAAAGAATCATGGGCCAGGGGTTTAGCTAGTGGCATAAACACTTGCCTGGCAAGCATGAGGTCATGAGTTTGATCACCGGTACCAAAAAAAAAAAAAAAAAAGACTCAATAAAAAAAAAAACAAACCCTGATATGAATAGACACATCTCAGAAGTACAAATGGCCAATAAATGACTTGAAAAAAATTCCCAACATCTCTGACTGTTACAGAAATGAAAATTAAAACAGCACAGGTATTCTGTATTATTCCACAAAGGAGGGCAATTAGCAAGAAATGCAGCAATAACAAATACTAGTGAGGCTGTGGGGAGGACAGAAGGTGCAGCACTACGGAAAGTGTTAGGGAGTTTCTTCAAACAACTGAAAACACAAATTCCATTTGACCCAGCTATTATTTTTACTAGGTATCTTTCCAAAAGTTGAATCATATTACAATAATAGATGATTTTTCATGTTTATTGCAGCAAAGTTCATGGTAGTTAAATCTCAGAAGCAGCCTACATGTCCATCAACAGATAAAGAAATGTGGATAAAGAAAATGTGGTATTCATACGCAGAAGAATGCTACTCTGCCATAAAAAAGGATAAACTTGAGTCTTTTGTAGGAAAATGCATATACCTCACCACCATAATATTAGGTGAAATAAATCAGTCACACATCAATAACTTGAAGTTATTTCTTAAATATCACATAGTTTCTTTTGTATGAGAAACTCAAAGTATAAATAAATTAAAGCTCGAAATACAAGACAGATAATAGGAAACAGGGAGACAGATCTTTTACAATTATGATGGGGACCAGGAGATGGAGAAAGAGGAGGCAGGGGAAAAAGGGGGTGAAGAAGGAATGAAGGTATGTTGTGCACTTGTACCAGCCCCTGTGATGGATGGAATCGTTATGTACTGAAAACAGATACTAATAAGAATTTAATAATTTTTTTTTTTTTTTGGTACCAGGAATCAAACTCAGGATCTAGTACTTGCCAGGCAGGCTATATCCCCAGCCCAAGAATAAAAAGTCTTTAAAATTGGAAAAATGACACTTCAGTCAATTCCTTATTTTTCTCTTACAAAATGAAGGTCAAAACATCCAAGAATTCTCTCTACCTTGGCTTCCAAGAAACTTGGGTAAATCGAATGTTTACTTAAAGCAGTACCTTTACACTAGGTGTCTGAGAACATTTATTTCTCCGTTCCTTTAAAAAATTTCAACTTTGGTTGACTTGTTTTGTGTTGTACAAGGTATGAGCTAAAAATAGGGTGACTGTTTACATTTTTCTAAAATTACAGTGAAAGTCATATTGCCATGAATCCCCTTCAGAACACTCGCGTGGAACCTCATCCCGCTGGTTACAGCTCTCGAGAGGAGACCTGGCAGTCCCTTTGGAGTCTTTGGTTGTGCTTTTGATGTCCTGGGGCAGTTGAAAATGTGCACCTTGCATGGTGCTCTGTTGATGTGAGGCTGAGCCAGAGGTCACAGGGTGCCAGACCTGGCGAATGAGGAGGGCGCGGAGGCACCATCCTGTTTTTAAGAGGCTGCCTGTCTACGGGTGGCGCATGACAGCAGCGTCACTACCTTTTTAATCACATCTTGTAAAGTCACTCGTCAAAGAGGACTTCCAGAACTGCTTCAGAAAGTGGCAAGAATGATGGGATGAGGGCTCAAAGAGAGGGAGAGTAATATTTGAGAGGGATTAAGGGCCATGTGTCTTTTACCGTAATAAAATTGTAAAGCCTTCCCTCGTGTATTTTGATCAGATCTTGTATTTCAGCTTTTGTAAACTGCTTGAGAAGCCTTCATCTCTGTGGCACCAAGGGCACACTGGGGATTTATTGTTGTGTATGCCTGGTTTCCTTTCCTTCCCCAGTTTAGCAAAACATACCATTAATGAAAGGTTCAGGAGGTATTTAAAAATTGAATTGGATGTAACCAGAAGAGACCAATTTCTAGATTTTCCTTCTTTAACAAAATTCTGTGGAGAAGACTCTGAAGCAGCTCGGCTGATTCAGGAGAGCCTTGAGTTGGCAGTGACCTCAGATTTCATTCCTTTCTGACTTGCTGGCTCCCACAGGAGCTCGCACCCAGAGGGGACCCACCTCTTTTGCAGGCTTTCTCCTTTGGGGGGTGTGGAGTGTGGAAATGGATCTCCATTGGAATGATGAAGAGCTCTGTTGGAGGTTCATTGACTTTAAATTGGCTGCTCAGGGGGTCAAGAATTCTGGGTGGCTCTTCCAAAATAGGAGGTAATTTCAAAGCCTTTGGTGCCTGGAGAAAATTTAAATACAAAAATATCAACATGACAGGCATCCAGCCCTACTTCCAGCAGAGAGCAAATGATGCCATATTTGATTTTATTATAATTCTTGCACCAGGAGCTGCTGGGAGAAGGCTGGGTGCTGAGTCCCTGTCTTTGGTGGCACTGTTGCCCTCGGGCTCCTGGGAACTCAACATACACCTGTTACTGCTGCCTCTGATTCCTGGGAGAATCGTCAACATGATAACTTTCATGTCTTGAGAAGCTAGTCTGTCTTTTATGACTAGGGAATATGAAGTGGGCTGAAATGATATGACTGAGTACACTCTGAAAAGGAGAAATTTACACACAGATTGTTAAGGGAAAGAGCAAGGACATTTGATTGTGCAATGGATCAGGTAAGAAGGGGCAGGAAACAGGAGTTTGCATTTGTTTGCCTCCCTCACATCTCCTCCTCTGTAGAATGGAACAGTCACCCTGCCTACCTCCGGAAGCGGCCCAGGCTACGCGGCTTAGTGCGTGCAGTTACAGTGGTGTTGGAAGCGGGATTATTTCCATAGTTTTTTCCTTGAGAGGGGACTCTTCCTTTGTTGGAGTTTGGTAACTCTCGCCAGCAGGGAAAAAACTCTTAGCTTCTTCATACTTCTGTGACATAAACCTAGCTGGGAATAATTTAGCCCTGTTGTTTTCTATCCTAGTCAAATGAGCACACACACACCTACGTACACGCATATGGGATAGAGATACTAAAGGTTGTTAGAGCCTTCTGTTTCCAGTTATTTGGAAGTTACTGAAAATTTCACTTTTCAGTTAGCAAATTTTAACATATGAACTCAGCTTTGTGAAGTATTTATGGTTCTGAATTTCAGTTTGATTTCATGGAAGCAAAAATGGAAACCTTCTACTTTGTTTCTGTATTCCAAAATAAAAAATGATAAAAGACATGCTTACGTCTAAAGCATCCTACAGGCTTAGAGTTCACTGAGGAAGGAAATTCTACCCAATTGGTGCAGGATGACATTCATAATTTTGAGACACTAAGAAAATGACTAACCAGATGCAGGCACGTAGGACCTTTATGCTCCTTGGGGTCTTCTTCTCTGCCGAGTGCTACTGCCCATCAACAGCCCTTTCCTGAAGACTGACCTTGTGATTCTGTTTGACAGGGATCACATTGAGAAATGAGTGGAAACTCAAACTGTTTGTGTGAAGTGTGTTTCATGACACTTAGTTTCTTTATTCTAATTAGAAATTTAGACAGAGTTGTAATCTGTTGGATTGGAGGCTATTGCTTCCTTCTGTTAGGCAGACATCAGGGTTGAAGGAGGTGCCTGGCTGGGTATGGCCTCAGGGGCTCACCATAGTCTGTGGCAACTCCAGATGTATTGAGAGGTTAGGCTTCTGCTTATTCCTGTTCTAAAGGAACCCAGTTAGACAGAGGCTCCTCTGGTGTGGGTGGAAAAGATTAGATCAGCTCAGACACAGGAAATCTGAAAATCCTGAATAGACTGAAAACAACTCTCATTGGCACTGGGACTGCCAGAGCGCCCATGGCTCCTCCAGGGCCACCTCAGGTGACAGGAATGCTCACAACTAAGCAACATTTCAGTGGCTCCTGAGCGGATACAAAATTCGTTGCTAAGGGTACAGCATCCTTCCTCTGCTGTTTGAGGCTGGTGTCTTTCCCCAGGCACACAGTGAGGGCACTGGGGCGTGGTGAGCCGGGGAGACCTGTTCACCATCATGCAGCTGCTCCAAGGCAGAGCACCCTGCAGCCCACCAGCTCCTGTTCAGCCCTGGTGCCCCCACTACCCACCACCTTACAGAACTGTGAAGCAGGCCGGAGACCGAAGAGGATGTCTTGAGGAAGAAGGTGTTCTGACTCCTGACGAGGGCTGATAAACTCCCAGAGCCTGACCTACATGTGCAGAGGTGACAGACCTTCAGTGGTACAAACCATTGCTGGATTTGAGTTTGCCAACATTGTGAGTTTGAAAGTGAGTCAACTGCTTAGCAGCTCAGATTCTGTGCTTCCTTCAGGAAATCTTGAACCCTCAGGAGGACAAAGGGTTCTGCTGCCCTCAGAGACTGTGGTGCTAGCAATATGCTTTAAGTGCAACTGAAATTCCTCATTCCTCATGGTTTTCAGCATTAAATTACAGTTCTATTACAGCTCTACAGTGAGCCCAGAAACCCGAAAGTTCAATTCTCTGCTGAGACATCCTTTCGCCGTGGCCTCGTTTCTAGTTTGGGATTAAAAACACACATGCGCTTGCATGCACACACATACATGCACACCCACACATACACATGTGCACACATGCACACACAATGCACACACATATATGCACACGCATGCACATCCATACATGCTCACATGCACACACACACCTTTTTCTCCTTTGCTTCCCCAGGGCTGCTGTGTTTGGAGGCAGTGACAGATGCAACCAGAGGGAAAAGGTGTCTCTCTGCAGGCAGCTCTGGGAAGAGGTGGCTGCCTCTAGCCTTGCAGCGTTCCTTGGTCCCTTTTTTGTCTGTGGAAACAGGACAGGAATGAGAAGTTCTTAGTTGCAGGCATGAGGGTGGACGGTTTCAGTTTTTATCACATTTTGGTTAATGACGGGAAGGAATTCGGGGAGTGTGCTGGGGTGGAGATGACGTGGCCTTGCTGAGTCCAGTGTCATCCAGGATGGGTCCACCAAAGAGAGAGAAAAATGACAACAATGACTAATCGGTATTGTGCACTAAATATGAGAGAATTATGCAGAGTGTTTTATATGCATCACAATACCTCGCCCCCACAGTGGTCAGGTATTGATGTTATTATCCCTGCTCTGCAGCAGGGAAGACAGAACCTCAGCAAAATGAAATGATTCACTCACGATTACAGGCAGTAAATAGGGACTCATTTGAACTCAGGCACTGGGATTGCAAAGTTTGCCTGATGAGACCCTAGCAGAGGGACCCGTGAGGATTTCCTTCCCATGTTCAGCTGGACTCTGGTTGTTATTTTGTTGGGTGCATGGCATAATGGCATAAGGAAGTCCCCTCAGCACGCCTGGGCTCGTAAATGATCCCCACACTACGAGATTCATTCACCCCATCCATGAGTGAGGTGTTTGTTTCTTACGGCTGAGGTCCGCTGTCCGACTGGGGAAGGTGCCTGCATGAGGTGCAGGGTTGGATTTGTCACCCAGGAGCCAAGGGGGACTTATGTGGGCTTGCCCAAGAGCCTTCCTGCGGGGTCGCCGTGTCTCCTCACTGTGGCTCTTTTCCGAGGCATGGACAGGAGGGCCACCCTCTGCCGAGGTGTCCTAGGGAACAACAGGCGTGCAGATCTGTAAGGAGGCTGTCACAAAGTAGCAGGCAGCCTCGTGGCCACACACTGGAGCTCAGGATGAAACTGTTCCTGCAGGCTGGGAAGGTAGGTGTAACAGCAGGGTCTCTGATGCTCATTACCATGACACAGTTTATGACTGATGATAGAATGATGGATAACTATACCCGACATACAGTATTTTACTGAAAAAAATTAAAAGATTAAAAACCAAGTGCTTGGATCATTGCATTTATCCACCATAAAAAGTGTCTCCCCTCTCTCCTCTTCCAATGTGTGGTCCTTTTTCCCTTTTCTGTTCTTTTTGGCATGTGACCTTGAAAGTCAAAACAACTGTCTTCAAAACGGGAGCAGATACTGTCTGGGCTGTTCTGAAAAACTGTTACACAGACATGTGTAGCACTTAGAGAGCTTTTCTAAAATGTCACTCACTTTATCCTCATAGTAACACTGTGATATACACGTGATCAAAGCTCCATCTTACAGAAGGGCTCATCCAGGTGCAAAGTTACTTAGGTTTCCTGGATAAGTTTATCACAGCTTAGTAAGAAGCAGAAGTCAGGCCAAATTTAGGGCTGAAAGCCTTTTTTCTGGATGAGTCTGTATTTGCCCAAATGGGTAACGGGTCGGGGGAGGATCAGTAATTTAGAAAACCTAGAGTTAAACAAGTGGGCTGCTCAGTGTGCCCATTTGCAGGTGTGCCTGGCATCTCCCTGGTGGACCTGGCTGTGAACCTTTTTCCTCAAAGGGCATCTGGTGATGGTGGGGTTCCACCAGCAGCACTTTGGGGAGCAACCGTCAATGGGTTGAAGCACTTGGAGGCTTCAGGACAAGATGAAGGGAGGCTGAGCCTCTGTGACATCATGGGGATGATGGGGGCCCATGAGAAACGGTACCTCTGCCTGGGTTCCGGCTTCCCTGTGTGGCAGCAAAGGAGTCCCCTGCCCACCTTGGCACTTGGCTGGGCTGCCCTGGTGCATGTGTCCAGCCGCTACAGCTTCCCCTTCATCTGGGCCCTGTTCACCTGCAAGGCAAACAGTGGTCAGCTGGGAGCCCTGGCCAGGCACCTGGTGCTGCCATGGCCCCTGAGCTGGCCCCTTCTTGCTTCTCGGAGCAGAAGTGGCCGTGGCCCTGCTTCTCTCTGCATGCCTGGCAGAAGGGGTTGGGGGAGCAGCTGGGCTGGGAGTCAGGAGACCCAGGGTGGAGGTCTGCATCTGCCACTCCGTTTCTGTGTCTGTAAAACGGGGACACTGATTTCTCGCCCCTGCTGCCTTTGGTGAGCTCAGTGAGACACTGTAACGCAACGCCCTTCCTGAGCTGCTGGGATTCATGGACCGCAGTGATGTGAATGCTCTGTCTGCAGCAATCCCTTGGCTTCCCTGGGCATCTCCTGCTTGTTTACTGGGGGAGAAACAGCAGGGCATGGGACCCCTGCTTCACTCTCTGGGTTCACCCTGTCTACAGCCCTTGGGCAGGATCTGAGTCAACAGATGACTCCAGCATAGTGAACAAATCTTTCATCGGTGGTTTAAAGGGTCCTGCAGCTATTTTCATCGCTTACTCAAGGTAATTTATTGCTGAAACAGTCTGGCAGGCCTTCCTTGTTTGGAGCCAAGCATTAGGAATTGCTCTACTCCCCGTGTTAGGCCTTGTGGAACAATGTGGGCTTGTGTCTCCCCGTGGGCTCTGAAGCCTGCAGGCCCTGTGCAGAATGGAGCGCTGGTTTCTGGGCATGCCTCCTCCTTCCCCCAGCCAGCCTCCAATTCCCTGTGTGTCCCCAGGGTTACCCACCTTCCACACCCCCATGCTTGGTGTCACCGGGTCAGGTGTCAAGGGCTGGCATACAGGGCCACCGCCTCCTTCCAGCCTGTGGGCTCTTAAAGACTACTCCAGTTCAAGCCGATGCCAAGAGTGTTGGCAGTTGAAGTGCGGGCTCAGGCTCGGGCCCAGGAGTTTGCCACAGTTTCGGGGGCCTGGGGAGCCTGAGTCACTCACCTGGGGCCAAAGACACCTCTGATGGTGGCCACACTCAGTGGCCCTGCACATGAGTCCATTTTGGGGTGTGGGGCGGGGTCTACCCTGGCCACATTCCAGCCAAATTAACAGAATGACTCACTGCCTGTGAGAGTAAACAAGAGCTCTTTCTCAGTAAATGTCATCACCTTGCTCAGCTGTGTGTGAGTGAAACAGGTTTGTAGGAAAAGGTGGCAGCTGCAGCTGCTGAGATTCTCCCCATCTCTACAGCACGGGCTCAGCTCTCCCAGACAGTGCGCACTGGGACAGAATTTCCAGCTTGCACAGGGCCTCCCTGTCCTCTCTTGTGACAGAGAGGCACGAATGCAGAGCTGACTGCTTATGTTTGACTGGTGTGCAGCCTAAGGAGGCAGGGAATCCAAGCGACTCACTAACATCTCACTGTTGGGAGCTCTGGGGTTCACGGCAGGGACTTTTGTTACTTCTCCAGATAAAGTGTTTGGCAAAGAGGGGAGATCAAAGGGAGATGAAATCAAAACCTGTGGAAACATCAGTCAGGGCTCCAGGCGCAGCCTCTGAGTGCCTTTCATGTCTTTAAAATTTGATTTTTTTTTTTTGGCTCCTGCAATTATGGGCAATTGGTATTGCAATCAATAATTACGTTTAGAAAACAAAATCTAGGAGATCTAAAATTAACACTTATTGAGCACTTATTCTCTGCCAGGTCCTACATCATCCTATTTTATTCCCACATACAGTGCTGGGAAGTAAAGGTGGTATGCTTACCTCTATTTTATAAATGAGGAAACTGAGGCCCAGGGAAGTCACATGGCTTAGAATCTGTGCTAATGGCCACCTGTTTACTCGTGACACTGCGCTGTCTTTCTGTTTCCTGCCTCATTATGACAGATCTTTGGTAGAGGATGCTGGTTGGAGGAGTCAGTGACCTCTTAGGTCCACAGTGCCTCACCCCTGGAAGGTGCCACAGCCCTTTTCCAGTGTTTTAGGGTCCTGGGCTTCAGAGTCCAAGGGTGTCATCTGGAGACAGCGGGTGGTAGAGGGAAAGCAGTGTCCCCATGGGGCAATTACCTGGGCAATTTCTGCAATGCTCCAGAACCGAGTAATCTTCGATTTTGATTCACATTAGCAAAGTACATAGAGACTAAGTTGCAGACTGGAGGATTAATATATGAAAGCAGGAAAGAATGACCTGACCCACAGGTTTTACACAGACAGTGTACACGTGGGCCAGGTTGGGACTGGGATTCCCTGGTGCCAGGCTCCAGATCCACAAACAGTGAGTGGCTGGGGTGCCCCTGTGCCGGTCATGAGCCACAGCAATCTAGGTTCTTTGCTTCTCCTGACTGCACCCATCCTGCCAAGGACAAGGAGGACCCGGGCAGTTGCCACCACTGTGTCTAGAAAATTCTTTCTTGATTTCAGAAAAAAAAAAGATCTTTATGTTCTGCTGGGGTCCAGTTCCTTTATTTTCTGAGGATCTCTGTTACCCTCCAAGGCTCCAGCCTGCCCATTTACTGCTACTGTCATCTTTCCCAATTTCTTCCCAGAGGCGGCTTCGGGCTCGTTCACAGCCTCGAGTTCCCAGAGTAAGACCCTGGCAGGACAGGATGTTTTACAGTTCCATGTATTAACAGGGTAGGGCTTGCTGTTCCCATTACAGAGATGAGGAAAGAGAAGCTCGAGATCTTCCATTTAGTGAATGAGAAAACCGCCATAGCAGTACAGATTTCTGGCCTAAAGGCAATGTTTTCACCCGAGTGATGTTGCCACAAACACACAGGATTATAGAATATTCTAGGGAACCAGATCTAAGGAATTGCCTAGCCTGTGGCTATATCACCCTGAATGAGCCTGATCCTGTGTAAAGAGTCACCTAAAATCCAGGGTCTAGACCTCACTGTTTAGTTTAGTAGCCTCCATTCTCGACTAGATTATTAACTAATTAAAATAACATTCTTGGTTACACAGTCACACCAGCCACATTTCAAGAGCCGCTTAGACATGCAACTAATGACCCCCACATTAGCTAGCACGGATAGCCAGTCCATCACCTCAGAAAGTACTGGTAGACGGCTCTGACCCAGATGATGCCCTTTATTTTACAGAAGAGGACGACTGGAATTCCCAGATCTTATTTTAGGATTCTCCATTTTAAGGTGTTAAAAATACAAAATATTTGAAAAGTAGCCATAAAATCAGCACGAACCTTGCTGAAAAGATTTTCCTTGTTGAATCCAAAATGGTGGGAAGACAGGCAGCAGCTGGTACCTCGGGGGTGCCCCTGACAGGTCTTGTTGGAACCTGAGATACTTTGGCATGCTAGGTCGAGTGTCCTGGAGTAGCACGGAATCCTTGATGTACCCTGGAGGGTGGGTTAGGAGTTACCAGGGGGTATACACTCAGCAAGGTGGGGGTCTGCAGATAACTGCAAGCTCCTCCCCCGGCACTAGCCTTGATTTAGGACAGTGCCCATCAAGAATATGGGAGGAGCAAGGTGCAGCGGTACAAGCCTTTAATCCTAGCACTCATGGAGACTGAGGCAGGAAGATGTCAAGTTTGAGCACAGTCTGGGCAACATAGAGACTTAGCCAGACCCTATCCCAAAATTTAAAAAAAAGAAAAAGAAAGAGGGCTGGAATATTGCTCAGTGCGAAAGTCTTGGGTTTTACCCCCAGTACCACGCACCAAAAAAAAAAGGAAGAGAGGACGTGGAATAAAATGAAAAGCAGGCAGAGTCTGTGGAGGCCTCTCCAACCAGCGCCCTGAGCCCCGTCCTGCGCGTCTCCCTCCTCATGGTCCCCAGCGGCAGAAACTCGTGGCTTCCTTGGCTCTGACCCTCAGGCCACGATATCCGCGGGGCTCACGGAGCGGCCCTGTGCCGGCCAGGGCTACTGAATGAAGGGTCCGGCGTGGAAAGACAGAGGCTTCCCCGCTGCACTGAGCGGCCGAGGCCCAGAGTCACCAGGAACAGACATCCAGAGGCTCCGCGTGGACGGAGCCCCGGGGGAGGACCTGTGGCCGCGGGCGGGGTCCTGCGTGCCAGGGCGGGGCGAGGCCGCCTGCACGCGTGTCCTCCCGAGGCCCGCGTGGCCCGCGGACGGCAGGCGTCTCTCCGGGGGGGCCCGGCCCGTGGCCTGGGGCTGGGCGGTCCCCGCTGAGCCCACGGAGGCCTGGAGCGCGGGGAGCGCGCCGCGTGGCAGAGGACGCGCGAACGCCGAGGGTCCGGGCTGATCTTCCCGCCGGCCTCGCGCCCCCTGGAGGTTTGCGAGTGAAACACGGGGTGTCCTGGGCCTTGGAATTTGGGGTGCACGGCAGATTCTTTGTAAGTGGCAGTGTGTCCTGAGCCCAGCTGTCTGTCCGTGCAGCGCTGCCCAAGTGCCAGCTCTGCCACCCCAACCCGGCGTTTCCCGTTTATGTTGTTAAGCTTCTGCAGAGTGTACTGGGTGGGTGTCTGTCTGTCTCTCCGCAGAGGGCAGTCCATTTTCCTCGAAAGCGCATCATCAGAAGGAGCAACTCAGGCATCTCCACTCCCCACTGAGGTGGCGGCCTCAGCGGGGAGCCAGGGAATCCCGGGGAGACGCACGGTGGAGCTGGGGCGCCAGGCGGCAAGGAAGCCGGGACTGTGGTCTGCTCAGCTTTTGGTCACGTGACCGTAGGCGACCACCTAGCTCGCCTCCAGCTCTTTTTCCTCACGGTGTGAACAGCAGGTGCAGCTGGTGGAGCTCTCAGAGGCTCTGAGGGTGGGAAGCTGCACCGGAAGTGCTTGCCGGGAGCTGGGCTGCCAGGGTGGGATGGGAGAGACTCTGTCCTTCTGCAGACGTGGGGAGGGCAAAGGGGAAGCTTGGTGGCCGGGGCAGAGGCTTGCGGGCTACCAAACTTAGTAGTTTGCTTTATTAAGATTGGGCCTAAATGGGGTGTGGTGATTATAATCCTAGCACTCAGGAGGCTGAGGCAGGAGGATCGCCACAAATTCAAAGCCAGTCTGGGTTACATAGGGAGTTTGAGAACTACAGGGGGAGACCCTGTCTCAAAAAATCCAAAACAAACAAGCAAAAATGAGATTGGGCCTGAAATTTTGGTGCTGCAAGCTTCGAGGGAAAATGCCCTCGCACCAGGGTGAGGCGGGGAGCCCATTCCCCACTGACCTGCACGGTGGAGCCTGTACGTGGCATCGGGGGACCAGGTCCGCAGGAAGCCGCGGAGGTATCTCTTGGCCGAATACCCGGGCTGGATCTGCCGCTGGGCCTGGCTCTCTGACTGTCTTCGGAAGTAGAGGTAGGGCTGCCAGGTGTGGCCTTGCTGCCTCTGTGGACGGCAGCCGAGAATCAGCACAGCTGCTGAGCCCGCCCTCCCTGGGCCGAAGCCACCTAGCACAATACTCGCCGTCATCCTGACGGATCCCGAGATGCTGGAGGCGCCCGAAGAAGCTCTCTTGCTCGCTAGGCCAGAGGTATAAATCGAGAGGCTGCAGAGCACAGCCCAGAGAGGCCCTGCAGACCCGCGATGGCAGGAGGAGGAGCAGTGGCGACCACCACGCTCCACCAAGCCTCAGAAGAAGACGCCTTAGTTCGCCAGCCCACGGAGCTCACCTTAGCTCCCTCAAGCCGCTGTGCAAATCAGCAGCAGTGCTTGAGGTTTGTAGGATGAATAATGGGACAGGCGAGCCAGGGCCAGGCCCGCGGGGAGCCTGGCATTTTGAGGCCGTGCAGCGGGGAACAGGTCTGCACAGCAGCTTAGATTCGGCCGGGTATTTACCATACCCAGGAGCTTGGCTGCACTGCAAGCTGGTGAGGCGACTGAGTCAGGGAGAGACCACGCAGAGGCTCTCAGAGGTCAGCCTGGTCAGAACAGTAACCCAAGTCAGAGGCCAACTCTGCTGATCGGGAAGCAGCTCAGAAGCCACGGTCTTTTTAAATGTGTTAAAATAAAATCGAGGCATACAATTAATACATGATCACGTAGCCAGTTACATGTTCAGCTTGATAAAAATGAACAACTGTAGACACTTTGGTAACACAGAGCATTCTCAGCCCAGAAAGTTCCCTCGTGCTGTCCCTGGTGACCCTCCCCTATTCTGATTTCTATCACTGTGGACTAGTTTTTCGGTGCTCCTGAATTCATACAAAGGAAAACAGCAATATTCTTCGGTGCTCCGTGAGAATCACCACAGTGCTTCAGTGAGAATCAGCAGGAGAGATGCAGCTTGCTTACCACTTCTTGAGTCAGCCTCTCCCACAGGCAGTAATGTGGACTGGGGAGATAGAGGTGTCTTGGTTCATCGCTTCTATAACTGAGCTCAGGAGACCAAGTAGCTTACAGAGGACAGAGGTTTATCTCTCACAGTCTGGAGGCTGACAGGCCAGGGTTGAGGAACTGGAATCTGGTGAAAGCCTCCTTGTTGTATCACTGCTTGGGAGAAGACAGAATGGCATAAAACTAAAGGTGTGTATTCACCCATGTGCATGTAAGGGAGGGGTGTATATGTACCCTCTGCATCCATGAGAGATGGATGTGTATGTGTACATGTGTGCCTGTGAGGGATGGAAGGTATATGCACACTTATGCACCTATGAGAGACAGGTGTATATATATGCATGTATGACCATGGGGATGGGTGTATGTGCATGTGTGTGTGCACTATGAGAGATAGGTGTATACTCATTCATGTGTGCCCATGAGGGGGGTGTGGGTGCGTGCATGTGTGCACTGAGAGATAAGTGTATATGCTTGCATGTGTGCCCATGAGGGGTGAGTGTGTGTGCATGTGCACTGTGAAAGATAGGTATTTACGCATGTATGTATGCCCATGGGAGATGGGTGTGTGTGCATGTGTGTGTGTACTATGAGAGACAGGTGTATACTCATTTGTGTGTACCCATGAGGCGTGTGTGTGCAGGCATGTGTGCACTGATAGGTGTATACGCTTGTGTGGTTGCCCATGAGGGGTGAGTGCACATGTGCATGTGCACCATGAAAGATAGGTGTTTATGCATGTATATGTGCCCATGGGGGATGGGTGTGTGTGCCTGTGAGAGTTGTTGGTATATGCTTGTATGCACACCTGTAATGGGCATGTGTGCATGCATGTGCACCCATGAGAGACAGGTGTGTATGCACACATCTGAACCTGTGAGAATTATTTGCAAATGTATGTGTGAGTGCCCATTAGAGATGGATGCGCGTGTATGCATGTGTGCCAGTGAGAGCTGGGGTGAGAAGAGGTTAATTTCATCCATTTATCAGGAACCTACTCTCTTTCCTAACTCAGTCTTGTGAGAACAACATTGATAGATTCACAGGCCCGGCCTATCAGCTGTCCAAGTCCCTCCTCTCAGAATGTGTGCTGTGAACGGAGTGGTTGACCTATTGTGTCAACTTGAAAAGTTTAGAATCTTAACTAAATTGGTTTAGCAATTCTGTACCCTACGGTGTAGAGGACCCACTCTAGGGTGGCCCATTGCCTGGATAAAGGGAAAGAGGAAGGACGGCTCCTGGCTTCAGGCGCAGACTCTGGCTTCTGTCGGATCCTTTAGCCTTCTCACATAGACCTGTCGGCCTCCTGCTCCAGACTTGCACGGGACACTGCAGTGAGCTCCAGACCTTGGACTGAAGCCTTCAATCTGCTGTGCAGACACCCTCTGCACCTGACTCTGGGTGGCCACTATAGGCTGATTTTGTAGATTCTTACACATTTGTGCATCTTGTATTATATCAGTTTCTCTAATAAATCCTGACTGATACTGTGGACTAAGTTTCTAACACATGCACTTGGGTAGAAACATTCAGACTATGCAGAGGGTAAAAGGCTCAGCTGTTACCCACAGCATCAACTGGAATCCAGGGCTTCAGGTCCGCACCAGCATGAAGCCTTCTGTTCTTCAAGAATGTGTGGCTTCACCAATGGACCAGGGCAGAGCACCATGGACCAGCATGAGGTCAAAGCAAGAAAAAATGATGGCTTTGAAGCAGGTGCGTCAGTGAGTATCTTAGAGAGCAGGAACTGCAAGAGTAGAGACCCACACGTCTGCCCTTGTTAGGAGTTGGTAAAAGCTGACTTGACTTTACACAGCGAGAAAGGAGGCGTATTATTTCATATAACAAAAAGACTGAAGTCTGGAGAGTGCAGGCCTTGTTAAGTCAGAGCTTCAATGGCTCCAATCTTCCACAGGCACCAAGTCCCTTTCTACCTCTGGAAACGGTCTCTTCACTCCATATCCACCAAGGCTGAACAGGACACAGCAGACAAACCAAAAGCAAGAAGGGGGACACAGTGGGCCAGGAGAAAGCCGGGCAGTGTCCCAGATCTAGGGCCGGGGTCTGGTTCCAGGTCATCTTTCCTGGCGGGAACTTTGTGGTCTTAGGCAATTCCTAGCTTTCTGCATCTGTCTCTAAAATGCCACTAATAACATGGTGATAGAAGCTGTGGAAAGTTCGTGGGGTTTGGAATCAGATAACCCAAAAGAACCGGATTTCACAGTGTGCCGCAGTCAGAGGGGACACACTGCTGGGAAGCCATAACCGAATGGGTAAACTGCTCTGTGCCGGCCTCACCACTCCCAGTCGCCGGAGCCGGAGCTGCATACCTTCCTCAGTGATGCTGGCCCCGAAGGGCTCTGTGACGGAGCAGGTGAAGTAAACAGGAGTGGCTCACTCCACTGTCTTTCTGATCTCCCAGTACTGTGAGCGGGCTGTGAGAGCAGCACGGAGACGGAGCCCCGACTCGGGCGAGTTAAGCAGCCTCCCAGGTGGCATTACCAGCGTCCTCGGCCAAAGGAGCAGATGAGCTGCAGGGTGTGGTATGTGACCAGCACCTTCCCTGTGGTGGGCGGTCGCACACCTGGTCCTTCCTGTCACCCTCGTCCGTGATAACTGGACATTTCTTCCCCATGCTTCTTTGACAGACAGAACCCCGATATTTTGTTGACAGAGTCCTCTCCCCATTCTGACTTTCCTAGACTCCTCTGCATCTTGGAGTGGCCCCATGATCTGCTTTGGCCAAGGGGATGCTGCTGGGGTGGGTCTGTCTGGCGGCCTGCATCCATGCAGTCAGCTGATCCGGATCCTCGCGGGTGGGGCATGGGCTCTCAGCACAATGGGGCGATTCATCCTGGATGGAGTGCCCACTGCTTCTTGCTGGTGACCAGCTTGGTCCAGGGCTGTGCTGTGTACATGGGGAGAAACCTGTTTCCTTGCATGGTAGGGGTGGGGTCTGCAGACAGAAGAACGGGGCCTCAGCCTTCCTAGGTCTTTTCACTAATCCTAGGTAGATGGGGGTTAAAAACAAACTTCACTGAAACAAGGCCAAGGATGGGTAGGAAAAAGGGAAAACCAGATAAAGAAAGGTACCAAATGACCTTGGGGATGGCACGGAGAGACCAGAGAGAAAGAGCGGCCAGGGATGCGCAGGGAAGTCAGGTGCACACGGGAGGAGCCGCCCAGCCCCAGTGGGGCTCGGAGAAGCCGGAAGCGGTGGCGCGGGGTGAGGGATGATGCTCGCTCCAGGGCGGGATCTCACACCGTGCACATGGGTCATCGTATTCTCAGGCCATCATAGAAGGCAGTAGATGCCCCCTCACTCACTCCAGCCATGCGTGAATAGGGCCCCCTTGCTGACCTGTTGCCCACTCCAAAGATAAGCCTGCAAAGTAGGTCCAGGACAAATAGACAGACAGACAGACAGAAACTGCTCATAGAGCACCAGAAGAAACAACGCTAGGTAGAGATGTCTGAGAGCCAGTCCAGGTATGGCAAGATCTGTGGGGGGAGGACCCCTGCCTCCCAAAGCAGTGGGGAGCAAAAGCCCAGGGGTCCCCATTCATCCAGATCACCTCCCCCAGTTCCTTCTTATCAGAGGAGCTAGTGCTCTTCCGTGCCCCCTTCTTCTTCCTCTTCACAAAGAAAGAATCTTCCTTTTGTCCCTCTTATTTGGGGGCCTGAGTTGACAATCCCGGTGGGTGGCTCAGACAGCAGAGCAGCAGTAGCCGCACCATCTTGGTTCCTCGGCCTTTCTCCAGGACAGAGGTAACAGGCGGAGTCCTCCCTGTGCTTCAGGCTCCCTGCCCCCCTTCTGGTTCTGTGCTCTATTTTTAAGGATCCTTGTGATTCCTTGAGCCCACCCAGATAATCGAAAACAGCCTCCCTGATGGAAACCCATCTAATGAGCAGCTTGCATTCCACCTGTGACCTGCAGACACATTGAGCCACCTTCTCTTTGATACAGGTGCCAAACGCATTCACTGGAAGAAAGACAGCCTCTTTAATAAATGGTGCTGAAAAACTGGCTCTACACACGCCGAAGATTAAAA